AAAAAAAATCATTCAGAAGAACCAACAAGATTGATCAAACGGACCTGTAGCTTGAAGGGTGTAGTTGCTTGCTTTGTAGATAGAAATTCACCAAACTGGTAACAGTAGCAGATTTCATAGATGGTACATATGTGGAAACGACTAGCTGCAGCTGATGTGCATCATGGATTTCGCTGACGAAAAACTCGACGAATCTAAATAGATGATTAGAGAATTTGCAAAAAATCTGACTCGTAAATCAGATATTAAATGTCGCCAGAAAATTCTCAGTATGGAGATAATCTGGAGCAGAAACTCACCAAACGTCAATGACAAGAGGATAACTCGACAACAAAAAATTATGAAAAAATGAAACGAGAAAAAAATGTGAAGTAGCAACCTACCGAGTTCGTACACCTGATGGCAGCCTGCGTTTCCCAGCATCAGTTGCTGGATTCATACAAGCAAAAAGTCGGAAATTAGGATGAGTATTCTTTGAGATCACATGGACAATGGCATCAAGGCTTTCAGGAGGAGCTAGATTGATCTAAAATGAATATGTAGGAAACAAAAATGGAAAAGCAGAAAAGAATTAACTTAAAGTATGGTTGAGATACAAGAAGATTATTAATTAGTAGCCAGAATGTACCTCGTCAATGAGTAGCCAATGCCCTTCCTGTGCGGCTTCAAGCACCGCACCACGACTCATGGTAAATGGAGCTGCGTTGCGATCTAAACCATCTCTGATCCGTCTGCCGCGTACTATGACGGAGGCCCATCGAACGTCCTATAGAAAGCTAACGTATTCATTATGTCACTTTGAATCAAAAAGCAGACCTTTTTCGTTGATTCCTTCTTCAAGGCCTTCTCTGCAGTTGCAATTACAACAGACAAGTAGTCCTTGTAACGACCATGGGAGAGACATGTCTAATACCATTTAATAAATTGTGGTAGAGTGATGACTTGTGACAGATAAGCTCGCACCTCTAAGTGATTTAGAAACTTTTGGTTCTTGGCAACGTTGAAATTACTAGTGAACACTTCGTGATAGAAATTCGTAAATGGTTCGAGAATATGAGCAATATTAGTGGGCTTATACCTGAAAGCGAAGGTGGTCATAAAAAAA